TTGAGGATTGGAAGAATGGATAGTAGTATGGCTTTAAGAGCAGGCAACAAAGTGATCGTTGAGGTCATCAACAGAAAATTAAATGGTCTGGGTTTGGTGTGTATTACCAGTGGTCAATTTTCTAAGAATAGTCCACTTAGCCTTAGTATTGGGGGCATTGGATAGGGATTGATCGATAGATAGAATAGAGGGCTTTGACACTGCATACAGATGATTGAGTGATGTTTCGAAGCTGTTTGAAGGAGACTTAATCTTCCGGAAGTCAAGGTCTTTTAAATAAACCACAACATTGCAGCATCTCTTCTTCTCATGCACTCTCTCAGAGCAGATGTTAACCAAGAAAATGGGGAATATCAGATAGTTTTTGTTATAAAGGAGCATGATAGTCGAGGATGGTAATAATTTAAACCACCTAAATTATTATTTTTAACACATAGTACAAATCTAGGAATAGCTGATTCCTATATATTATACTAATTTAAAAACAAACAAAAATATTCAATTCATCAATTTTTGTTTTATAAAAAAATTAGTTTTGTCTTAATAATTTATTTAATAGGAAGCGAGATAATTTCTTGTTTAGAAATTTTTTTTTTTTCGAAATTACAAACTAAGTTCTTTATGCACATAAAACCATAGTTTTTAAATAAGGTAATTCATATCATAATAAACAGTCCATTTTTTTGGTTCTTGTTATTATGTTATATTTTGTGAGTAAAACCTGTGTTCTCTGACCTATTTCGTGTTATGAAATTTTATATATTGTTACTTAAATTTGTATATAGAATCTAGATGAGTAATTTCTAAATATTTTATTTGTATTTGTAATAAATAGTAATTAATTTCATTAATGAAAACGTTGTTATTTCTTAGAGTAAAGGAACTTCTCTATCTCAGCGTATGAGCAAGAATCCTTCAAGAGGTCTGCTTCGACATATTCTGCAGCAAGTTTATAATCAAGCAGTTTATGATCCTGAAAAGCTAAATCAATATGAACCATTCTCGCCAGAGGTGACATTATAAATCACTTATATCTTCATGAAATTTTAAAAGTTACAATTAATGTTTGTATGAAAATGTATTGATCTCTAATATTTTGATAAAATTGTTGTTATAAAATTTTTAATTATTTTAGCTTATTTGAGAATCATTGTAAAGTATGTAACTAGTCAATTCTTCCACAATTCCTACCTTGAATCCATAATATGAACAAAATCATAATTAAAACTATAGGCAGCTTAATTTATTTATTTTTTATTTTTTTTTAATCCCATTTAAAAAGTTTTATTATAGTTATTATTGCAATTTTATTATTGTTTTAAACAACAACTTATTTGTCTTTCAGGTTTATGGAGAAACATCTTTTGATTTAGTTTGCCAGATGATAGACCAAATTGATATAACTAGTGAAGATATATTTGTTGATCTTGGCTCAGGAGTTGGACAGGTAGTCCTCCAGATGGCTGCAGCTACTCCATGTAAAATCTGCCTTGGAGTTGAAAAAGCTGAAGTTCCTTCAAAATACGCAGAAGTATAAAAAAAAAAAAAAAAAAATGAAACAATAACTACTATTTATTATTATATTTTGTAACCAACCAATGTTCATTTTTAGAGTTAAATTTGCGTTGTTAATAATGAAAAACAATTTCAAGAATTACTTATTAATTTTAAACCTCTTTTGTAGGCATTTAGCAGTACTTAAAATATATTTCTAACCCATGTGAGATTTCTGTATTTAAATCTTTGTGATTTTTGTCTTTTTTTTAATATGGTAAAAAAAAGTGAAAATCATAACAGTAGGATATATCATAACATAAAAAAAGTAACAAATTTTTATGATAACTGGGTTTATTTAACTGGGTTGGGTTTCTCCTTCACTAATTTTCTCAGTGAAGATATAACTAGTCCTATTGTTACTAAATATTGTTACAAGAAAGTATATACAGATTTCAACAGAAAAATTATTTTTTTCAAAAACTTTATTAGAAAATAAAATGTATATCTATAGAGAGTAAAACAAAAAAAAATCAAACTCAAAACCCTTTTTGCCTTGACACAGGCATTTAATCTCCGTGGCCAGTCATCAATAGCAGCACGCAGCACTTCTTGAGGAAAGCGCTCAACTGCTCGGACCAGAGATTGTTTGAGGCTTTCCAAGTTAGGGTGTGCTCTGTGGCATGCCATCCTCTCCAGTTCGGACCAAAGCCGATAATCTAGTGGGTTGAGATCAGGGCTTCCTGAGGGCCAATCCGAGACAGAGATGAACTCTGGAATGTTCTTTTGCAGCCACTGCTGAGTTGACCTGGCCTTGTGAGCTGGAGCGGAATCCTGCTGGAAAACCCAATGACTTCCAGCAAACAGAGTATCATTTAGAGGCTTGACAACAGGTTCCAAAATATCGTCCTGATAGTTTTTAGCGGCTGTTTTAACTCCTTTTTCACAAAAATGGAGCTTTGTGGTGCCATCAAAGCAAACTCCCCACCAAACCATCACTGAGGAAGGGTGATGACCTCTTTCCACTCTTCCAATGACTTCCTGGGCTTCTTTAGAGCTGTGTGCGTACACACGATCATTTTGGCGATTAAATTTTTCTTCAATTGTAAAAATTTTCTCATCGCTAAACAAAATCTTTCGATGAAGACCATTGGTGTAACGGCCAAGGAGCACTTTGCATCTATCCACTCTAATTTTTTTTAGGGAAGTGGTTAGCCTTTGTCCTGTCATTCTTCGAAATGCACCCATCCTAAGGTCACTTTTTATTATGCGAGACATTGATCTGACAGAGATTCCCATTTCCCGAGACATGATTTGTTGTTTTCGAATGGGATTTCTTCTGATTCGAGCAGCCACTGCTCTCACTGCATTTGCCGTTCTCACAGTGCGGGGACGGCCGTCGAGGTCTGTCACATACAGATAGGTCTCATTATATCTATTTATAGTGCGGTACACGAACATACGGCTGATACCCAAAGGTTTCAAAGTGTTGAAAATCTCTGACCTACATTTTCCAACTTTGTGTAAGGCGATCACAGCTATTCGGTTTTCTTTATCACCCCACTCCATGTTAACTGAGCGAAAGAAAAATACAAACTAATTGGATTATTACCTGACATGTAAAGAAAATAACCTGATAGAGTAAGGATTATCTAAATAATACCCAAGGATGTAAACAAAGTTCAACTTTTGTAACAGTATTTATGGCAGAACTAGGTTTGAAAATTATAACTAGGTAGTTCATTTTTCCAGTTATAAAATAAATGAAGATTCATAAGACTGTTGTCTCTTCATTTCAACTCCTGTAAATATATTAATAACACCATTTCAAAAGTTAAAAGATAGGGTTTTCATGTACTATTTTATTCTATGTTGATTTTATACTAGATTTCATACCCAAGTAAAATTTTTTGTTTCTATTTTTTGATGTTCTGCTTTATTAACAACTGGATTGACACAACAAAAGAAAAAATGTCTATGGTCATATAATAATATAGAGGTTATCACTTAAACTGTAAGTCTTTCTATCCCACCTCAATCTTCCTATCAGATTGTTACCATAATAAATCACTTTAAAGTATACAAAACTTATTATTCCTTACTAAAGAACAACATGAAAGTTTAGATTTTTATAAAAATTAACATTTGCTGAATAATGTTTTTAATTTCATCTCATTATTTATTATTATTATTTTTACTTCCTCACTGCCGAAGTTAGGGAAGCATTGTATTCGTGCGAGAGGTTAAAAAAAATTATGTGCTCAGAATCAAAATTTTCCACTCGTGGTTTACATTTCAGATATCAAGTATCAAATTTGGGTCGGTGTCTGTCTGTCTGTCGGTCTGTCTGTAGTCGAATTGATGTGACGGGCATATCACCTAGCACCGTTCATCCGTTTTTCATGAAATTTTCAGGAATTGTGTGGATTGGTGCCTAAATGGTCCCATATCAATTTTATCAAAGTTCATACTTGACTTCCTCTTACACACAGGCAAACTTACTTTTTTAGATATACCAATAATTCAGAAATACCTCGTTTGATTTGGCTCAAAGCTGGAAAGAAGGAAGACATTGGTGAAAAAATAATGAAGTGTCAATTTTATTGAATTCTTTGCTCTACTTTCTGTTATATATGGGCAAATGTGTTTTCCTTGATGCCTATATCTCTAAAACAGCCCATTCAATTTTGCTCAAATTTGGAGGGAAGTTAGGGATTGGTAAACAAATAATCAAGTATGCATGAATTTTATCAAATTTCACCCACTACTCCAAAAAAAAAAAAAAAATACTTCCGCTTTCAGATCGGGAAATTTATTATTTGACACGCTTATAGTTTGAAAATACTGCGTTCGATTTGACCCAAACTTGGAGGAAATTTGGAGAATAGTATAAAAATTACCTGGTATCAATTTACTTGTATTCCATTTAATAATTAAAATTAATATAAATAATTGTTAACAATATAATGGCTGTGAAATGGGGAAGGCATTGATCACCTGGAGTGGGAGTTAAGTTGACACAATATTTTTATGGAGTTATAAAATTAACTCCATCAACAAGTTAATTTATAATGTACTGTTTGGTGGATTCCAAACATTACTGGAATGACACGGCCGTTACTTAAATTTCATTTAATTTTCAGTAAATTTAAATTAATTTTTACTCTGAGTTTATATTAAAAAATGGATTATTTGTGGTTGTGTCTATTTCTATGGAAGTTCAACTACCTAATCGTGGTCTCGATTTTATCCTTAAATATCAAAGTTGTGTTAACTTCATATATATTTTTTATTAGAGTTATTTCCAAACAAACACATTTTTCTTATTAATGAACAAACAAATTAATTTTTCTTATTAAGTATATATCACTACTGTTAGTGCAAAAGGTCACTACTGTTAGGCTGTTGTAAATATTTTCAACTTTTATTCTATTTTTGCTAGTGGTTACAGTTTATAGTCTGCAACTGATATAAGCAGTCTGCTACGATGGAAAATAGCAGAGAGTTTTAATTCAACTAGAATCACCAATCATCTGAGTTAATTGACTAGTTTGAATTATGACTTTAACATTACTATGTTTTTAATTTAATTTTTGGAATGTGTCAATTAATGGAATGCCTGATGATTTGTTTATTTATACAACTAAGAGAGATTCATTGTAATAAAAAAGTGTCTACCTTACTGATCTATTATACTCTTTCTTTACTTGATATACATTACATCAAAGACATTTTTATTTTCACAAAAAGTATAAATAATTATAATTTTTATTACATAGCCGTTCTTTTTTGTTTGCATTTTTTTTTTTTTTACCTGATACGAAATTCACATATATATCTGAATAAAGCATTTAGATTTGTTTAATTTCATTTATAGCAGTGTTAATAACATTGATCATTGCATGAATGAGGGATAACCTATAAAAAGACACAATATGTTTTGGGGTTGGTAAGAGTAACAGAATGTTTTACTTTTTCTATTACCAGCATTTTAAATGGCATCATATATTAGGACTGAATAGAAATGGTAGACTTATATTTGTTATCGACAGACACAAAAAAAATGAGTGTTAAATCAGTATCATCTTGTCTCCTTACTACTCCTCCTTTGTCATTGTAATAAAATTCTAATGACTAAAATATAGGTCAAAAGGGCAGCTACATATACACAGTATATTTAATCACTTTCACCAATCTCCAAAAATATATCTAGGATTAATAAATAAGGTTAACACCATTCACTCAGTATCAAATTCTATTACTGACAACTCTTAGGGTGGATAAAACAAGTGTGTGTGTGTGCATGTGTTTGTGTCTGTATACATGTGTTTTGTCCTTGCAGATCCCTCTCTAACATATTCTGATCTTATAAAATTTCCCCCATAACTAATACATTTTTTTTTAAGAGAATGGTTTTTCATAGTTTTTTTTTTCTTTTCTAGGGCATGAATGTTAATTTTAGAAAATGGATGGGTTGGTATGGTAAGCATTTTGGAAACTATCAACTAATAAAAGGAGATTTTCTCACCGAAGAACATCGAGAAAAAATAGTTTCAGCAACAATAGTATTCGTTAATAATTTTGCATTTGGTCCTACAGTTGATCATATGCTTAAGGAAAGATTTGCAGATCTAAAAGATGGAGCAAGAATAGTCTCTTCTAAGTCATTTTGTCCCCTCAACTTCAGAATTACTGACAGAAATCTATCAGGTATTAAATGAAATTTTATTTGATCTGTTTATATAACCATAATCCTTTTTGTATTATATTAAAAATATTTTTCAAGTTATTTAAATAGTATCTTAAATGACTATGATGGTTCAAAAGCTAAAAAAAATGAAAACAATTTTGAAAAAAAAAGTATGATGAGTTAGAAAAGTATTAATTTATTTTTCTTTTTTACAGTCTATAATGTATATAATTATTAAAGTTTTCTTTTAAGGAAAATAGTAGAAAAAAGATAATCTTGGGCCATGGAGCTACCAAATTTTAAATCCATCTATGACTATTACAATAAATCCTATTATAATATATTTTTCACAATTTTACTATCTAAGAAAAGAAATGACTCATTGATTTTTATAAAAAAATAACAAGTAAATATCCCACGTTCTATATAAATCTAACTGAAGAACAAGATGGATTACTCAAGTGATCATGGAGTGTAATATTTGTTTAAAAAAAAACAAATAAACAATTTTATATTTTAAATAAGAAGATTGAAGAAAAACACGTAACATAAATTGGCTAAACCAGCCTAAATAATAAAATAAAATTTTATATTTCATTACATGAACAAAGAAAATGGATCATTTTATAATTATCTTACTACTTAACAATTGGAAAGAGAAAGGATCCACTAATAATTATAAAAATAAAATAAAACTATTACTAGTAAAAGCACTTCTGGAATATTTGATGTTATAAGGCAGTTAGCTTCTGTTCTAGATTTACATGTTTAGATTAATCACTAACAACCTTTAAACTTTATTTTTCTCTACTACTTGTTTACTGATTTAATACACTATTGTATTTTCTCTCTATTAATGATCAAGACAAAATAACATTACTTTTAATCTCCATAATGTTTGCATAATTCTGTTGGTTAGTAAAACTGTAGGTTTTTGTTTGGCTACGTTGTCAGTTTATAATTTATTTTCAAAAGAATGTGATGTTCATATGTAGTTATTGCACAGGAAGATAAAGTTTTAAGATCACAAAAATAAAGTGCATATATGTGTATGTAAGTGTGTGTGTGTGTGTATATATATATATATATGTGTGTGTGTGTGTGTGTACAAGGTAGAGGGACATTTTATAGGATTGATAGCAGATTTTAAGAGCTACAAAAAAAAAATCATATGAACATTTAAGTGTCATGTTTTTTGTTAAATACGAAGTGATAACTAAGGAAATATTTAATTTAAGTAATTAACAATTGTTTTACTGTAAATTAGAGAAAATTGACTTTAAATGAAAATAATGTTTGCCATTGTTAAAACCACTTAAAGTGAACTTATGAGCGGTTAAACTAAGCTAAGTTCAATTTAAAAAAAAAAAGAACCATAAATTATTCACAATTTCTTTTTTTATCATCATCCCACTATATTACAGATACATCACAATACGAAAACTTTATTGTCTAATAAGCTTTAATTCTTTATTAGTTAAATTGTGATTTATCGTGGAAAATTTTGAGATTCACCTCCAGCTTTGTAAAAATAATTATGTGATTTTTTATCTTGTCAAGTAAAAGAATTTATTTCTTGTTATTCTAAGATCTGGTATGTACAAAATTATAATTAAAAAAACATTAAAATAATGATTTTTAAAATATTTTCCATGTAAACTGTAGTTAGTTGATATGAAACTATAGTTTTCACCCAGATCTTTATAATTTTATGCATATTTATAAGTGACAAAATAAATACTTCTAGTACTAAAATTTACATTTAAAACAAAGAAACATACTGATTGTTTCAATTATTTTCATAAAAACGTTAATATTAGGATCAGAAACATGTAGTTTGTACCTTAGAAATACAGATCAATTCCTATAATACAGATCTGGATGAAAAAGTTTCATAAACACTTTACATGAAAAATCAGTATTTTTCAATAAATGAAAAGTGTATTTAGGCAATTATGTTTATTATAAAACATTCTAGATCATAGGAAAACAAGAAATAAAAGTTTTACAACAATTAATTGTAGTCAAAGGATAAAAAATCACATATTTTTTTTACAAAACATGAGGTGAATTTGAAGTTTTTTTCCTAAGAAAACCTCAACTTAATTCATATGGACTTAAAGCTTATTAAATGAGAAAGTTTTTGAAAAAGTGGTGTATTTGAAGTATAGTTAGATGATATAAAAAATCATAATACAGGGTGTCCCGTAAGTAGAGGGATATTTTAAAAGGAGTGAAAGCAGACTTCAAGATCTACAAAAAAGTTTATTTAAACAATGGCCCAATTCCCAATAGAAAATTGTTTTTATAATTCAATAGATCAAGATTGATTTTTTATGTGTCACGTTTTTTGTTGAATAGAAAGCTGTAACTAAAAAAAATTTAATTCAAGTAATTAACAATTGCCTTACTGTAAACAAGACAAAATTTACTTAAAATGAAAGTAGATTTTGTCATTGTTGAAACCATTTAAAGAGGAGTATTGAGCAGCTGAACTCAGCTACAGTCCGTTTAAAAAAAATCATAAATTATTTGCGATATTTGTTTATCACTCCGAAACTATACTACAGATGCCTTCCTTTTAAGAAAACTTTCTCACTTAATAAGCTTTAGGTCTATATTAATTAATTTTGAGTTTTAAAATAAAGCAGCTCAGAAGTCAGAAAATGGAAAACTCTATTTTTATTTAAATTAAATGTAGTATAGTTTACTGAGGAGTAATTGTTAATTACTTCAATTAAATACTTTTATAGTTATAGCTACCTATTCATGAAAAAACCTGACTTACTTAAATAACCACAAAACTCATTTTTTTTACATTTCAGCCAAAAATAAGATCAATGTTTATATATCTTTTTTTGTAGCTCTTGAGTCCTGCTATCACTCCTACAAACATTTCCCTCTGCTTATAGAACACCCTGTGTACATATATAAAACTCACTGCTTTTCATTTTTTAATAATAATTGTATAACAGTATTTTGTTTCCTGTTACAGATATAGGCACTATTATGCATGTTTCTGAAATGACACCTCTACGTGGTTCAGTATCTTGGACTGGCAAGCCTGTTTCATATTACCTTCATATTATAGATAGAACCAAGGTAACTGCTACTCAATTTAAACTGTATTTTACATACCTGCATATGTTTTATAGAAAACAATCAGTTATTAACCATAAATATTATTGCTACTATACACAGTATGTAAGTCATAAAATAAAATCCAATGGTAGTGCCTCTTTTTTTCTTTCAATTTAATTTATATTTTAAATAAATTGAATAAGTTAAATATAAGTTTTATGCTAATACCTGCATTATCCTAATGATTTTTACATTTTATAATCATTTTTATCTCTAAAAACATTTTATATATATATATACATACATATATATTCATTTTAATTTGCCTTTAAAATTACTATACTGATTACTATACCCAGTTATTATTGGTTAATTCTATCATTTGATCTAGATAATATTTTAATGCATTGATAATAATAATAATAATAATGATTTGTATGTATTATAATAATTTTCACCTTAAAGAAACCTCTATGTATGCTATATCATTGATCAATAGGATTACTTGTGGATTATTTAATTTTAGGCAATGACGTAATAAACCCTCTTTATGTTACCATAATACACTGGTGGGGCTTAGTGCTTAAAGATAAGTAAATACTGTAGTATAATTTCTTATAGCCAAATTTTTAAAGAAATTTATAAATAAAATTGTTGTAAAACTTCAGTCTTAGAGAATCACTCATGAAGTCAAAACCTCAACCGTGCTCTTCTCTCTTAATATATCAATCTAAGAGATATTCATAGACATTCTTGTTAAAAAAAACTTCTCAGATATTTAGTATAGTTACCAAGCAATCGTACAGTGTTAATATTGGTTTTTATTAACCAATATTAACGTAAATATTAATAAAGCAAAGTGTTCGAGGCAAAGACAGCTGGGTCCGAGTAGTGGGGACAAGCCTACAGGCAGAGGTGGGCATATTTATATTCAAAAATATGAATACGAATACTATTTATATTTATGGCATTTTTTAATATAAATATGAATATATTTATATTCATAAAAAGAAACATGAATACAGATGATGCATAATCGCATGTGCAAATATAAATACGGCCGTATTCACTACTTTAAAAGTGAATACGGCTGTATTTACAGTTGCAGTAGTGAATACGGCCATATTCACGTTTATTAAAATGAATATGCTTAAATTTACAGGAGTGAATGGAAATATTTTCACACAACCTTATGAATGAATACTCTTATTTATTAAATATATATTAATTTTACTTTAGGTATTTTCCAAAATTAAACAAAAAGTATACAAATTATTAAAATAAAATTCTGGACAGTAAGGATTAATTAAAAAAATAAATCTCTTAAATTTTTTTGGAATAATGTTAAAAAGGTTGGTATTTACTAACACAAAATGATGTATAAATAAACTTTAAATTTTATTAAACATAAAGTTATAATTATGTATGTGTAAACATCTTAGGAGGGTCCTAATTATGTAAACTGAAGTCAACTAAGGAAATTGGAAAAGTCGACTAGATGACTGAGCTAATGCCTATATATACATATGTATTTTACCACGCTGCATGGGCGGATCTACGGGAGGGGAGGCTTTCGGGCTGAAGCCCCCCCCCCCAAAATCGAAAAATATAACCATGTTTTATGGGAAAAAAATTTTAAAAATACTTCTTAAAGTATTATTGTTCGTGTAATTACATTTAAAAGTACTTAAGGAATAACTTAAACACCATTTCATATAGGTAGTTAGTTTCTTTCTTTTTTTTTCCAAAGTAAATATCGTTATTTTTATGAAAAAAAAAAAGGTTTCGGGCTGAAGCCCCCCCAAAATTAAATCCTGGATCCGCTAGTGCCACGCTGTATGTTCCTATTATAGAAATGTTAGTTAATAATCAATGATAATTATATATAGCAACATGTCCTAAGATTTTATGATTAATTCATGAACATTCTTTAATTTTTACCTGAAAATTTTATTATAGTTTCGCTAGTAAATGTGGAGTGATGAGATCATTTCACTGACAAACCTTTAAATACAAATAAAACTAAGAATTCAGTTTGTTTGTTAACAATTTTCAAATACATCATCCACACACAAAATAAAGATATTTACCATATATATCATTTTATTTTTATATATAGAATTATATTCTTCATTTTACTATATGTTATTTCAATTATGTTACAATGTATTTTGGTATGTTAATTGTTGTACGTAATATAAATTCCCGAAACCTTTTTTGGGGTTATCCATCGCCCCTCCCTTCCCCCTAACAGAATGGGAAATCCGCGTCTTTGGTCCTTTCGGTGCGCTGTTTACTTATGGGTTGCTGATGGCAAAAAATATAACTTTAACGGAATGTCAGCGTAGGCACAACTGTCAGAACTATATCCTGGAAATTCCAGGGGGGGAATACGGGTACATGGCATCCTTTGCAAGAAGGTAGGGAAGGGACAAGGACAGTCAAATTTGGATAGTGACCTTTCCGGACCTGTAGTTACGTAAAGTAATAAAGTAAAAGTGAGTAAAAGTTTTGCATTTAGAACAATGTATGGAATTGATCGTGAAACTGACTCTGTTTCTTTAGCAAGCTCTTGTATTTTGGATCAGGATTTCCATTTAAGTGAGTGTTTTCAAGACAGTACCGGTCTTTAAGAAATTTTTTTTTTTTTTTTTTTTTTTTTTAATTTCTTTATTGAGTATTATAACAATCTGTCTGTTGGACATTGGTTATAGTGAGGTAGGATGACATTCACACCATATGTACAAAAAAATAAAATAAATAGAACAAAATAATAATCAAAAGTATATACAATAGACAATAAAATAAAAAAATCTAAAAAATAAGAAAATTAAAACTAAGGAAAAAAAAAAAAAAAACACATGCATACCTATATACAATCAGGCGAGGGAACTCCAGGAGAACCCTGCGCTACTCTCCCAACCGCGTCACTGGTACTAAAGCCAGCGGAGATTGGTCGAGAGCACTTTAGCCACATACACACATGTCTTGAGTGAAGAATCAGGCCATTGCCAGAACTCCAATTTATATAATCTACAAAAGGTCGCGAGGCCACTGCCGTTTCAACCTTCTTGGAGGATTATAGGGATGGGAGATGCTTGATAGGGATTGTGCAAGAGGATTTGGGTGGTAAGTAAGGTTCTGGTGAAATTTGGAGAATTTTTCTGGGATAAGGTCTAGGACAAATGGGATGTTAAGGTCATGATGTAGGGTTTTGTTGGATACATAGAAAGGAGCATCGACTATTGTTCGAAGGACTTTAGACTGGAAGGATTGGATGCGCTTGATGTTAGAAAATTTTGCTGATCCCCACAGTTCTAGTCCGTAAGTCCAAATAGGTTTCAGTATTGTCTTGTAGATCAGTAGCTTGTTTTCAATGGAAAGTTTAGATTTTCTGCTTAGTAGTCGGTATATTAAGCAGGTATTATATTTAAGGTAAAATTAAGGTTCTCTATTTGAGTCGCGTTGAATGGGCTTTCTTTAAAGCATTAAGTAATGATATAAAAGTGATTTCACAAGAAATACAAAAATTTAATTCGGTTTGCGTTTTAAGTTTAAAATGTCCTCTCAAAGTTACAAGCAAACAAAAAATAATAAAATCTAATATTTTAAACAATTCAAACCTAATAACAGATTTAAAGCGGCATCATACTAAAAAAAAATGTAACAAATGATTAAAAAACAATAAAATACAATTTATGATGACTTTTTTGTTTTATTTTGGAAAATACCTAAAGTAACAAATAAATTAATATTTATTTAATAGATTAGAATATTCATTCATAAGGTTGTGTGAAAATATTTCCATTCAGTTCTGTAAATTTAAGCGTATTCATTTTAATAAACGTGAACATGGCCGTATTCATTACTGCAACTGTAAATACAGCCGTATTCACTTTTAAAGTAGTGAATACGGCCGTATTTATATTTACACATGTAATTATGCATCATCTGTATTCATGTTTCTTTTTATAAATATAAATATATTCATATTTATATTGAAAAATGCCATAAATATAAATCGTATTCGTATTCATATTTTTGAATATAAATATGCCCATCTCTGCCTACAGGTATCACCTTAATCCCGGCAGCCGCCACCCAAACAAACAGGTTGGCTATTATCATTGTTTTTATTTTGTCCACTCTATTTAAATTATGGCATTTAAATTAATATACATTTTCATTAAAATGGTCAGTTGTAAATCGTGTTTAAAAACGGTGGTCCGAGAAGAAAAGGCCTAAATTAGCCTGTACCTCATGTACAAATATATTCCATGCTAAATTCATGAAAATCGATATTTTAGAAACAGATGGCCTAAAAGAAATTAGCAAAAGCAGGTTATGTCCCGATTGTGAGTCATGTACATCAAAAGCCTCTGAACCCAGTACAATGATCGGCCTACTGAGGTCGTTGAACGAGGAAATTAAGGAGATGAAAACCAAGCTTCAGTTCATAGAAGAATTGAAGGATATCAAAGACACTCTCAATAAACAGTCGGAATTGTCCTTCCAAAATATAGAACGTCTGTTAAAAATAGAAACGCTCATCGAGGAACAGAAAAACCACGTAGAAAAATGAACACTCGAAAATAACACTCTGAAGATATCAGAGCTGGAAAGCCGTTTAAATCATTCAGAGCAGAATCAGCTAAGAAACACAATAGAGGAATTCCAGAGAAGCCGGGCGAAACTGTGACTGGGACCATCCTTAGCGTCGGAGCGGGTTTGGGCGTCAAGCTGATTCCAGACGATCTAGATCACGTAGTGAGACTTAAGCCCAAGCAGGAAGGGACTCCAAGACCTATTATTGCTCGGTTTATCAGGAAAACAGTGAAAAATGAAATATTACAGCAAAGAAAAACGAAGAAAGACTTCTCTACAGACCATCTGGAATGGGAAGAAAACGATTCGCACCGGGTGTACGTAAGCGAAGCCATGACCTCCACCAATAAACTAAAATATAAATTTTAGTGCTAACAAGCTGGAATTTCATTCAACTATTTGTTTTTTTCTTTCAATTTTGTATATAAATTTCCCAAAGTTTGTTTTATTTTTACTTTTTTTCACTAAAAATATTTTTAATTTATTCCTTTTTATTTTCTACCGCCATCTTAGTAATACTAATGAGCTGGAATTTCATTTAACTATTTGTTTTTTTTCTTTCAATTTATTTTAATCATAGCCATATTTATATTTTTTACATTGTAAATTAATTCTACGTATCAATATTTTCCGAATTTCTATAATTTTTATTTCAACTTTTCAAAAATTATTATATGCATATATCTTTTTGCTACTATGTCAAAAACGAATTTTTTATTAAAAAATTGTTATATCCTATTCTCCATCCTTGATCCTTTTCCATACAACTCTACTTCCCAACATTATAGTCATGACTAATATCCTAAACTCCTGTCACGTCAATGCACAATCCCTTAATGCCCACTTTGATGAATTCCAAAAATATTTCCTCGATAATTTTTACCACACAATAGCAGTATCTGAAACCTAGCTGAAACCTTTTATTCCTTCCTCCCAAATTTCCCTCCCCAACTACTCTTTCCTACGTCATGACAGATCTGGTCGCACGGAGGGAGGGGGGAGGGGGGGATGGTGGTGTCGGACTATATGTTCATGATAGTCTCAAGGCCAAAATCCTCTTACAGTCTCCTTTTCATGAGCTCCCTCACATTGAATATTTATTTGTTGAAATTACTTCTATTTCCTCACCCTTACTACATGTTAGGATATTATTTTATAGTAGATATCTGGATATTATGAGGGTTTTACTCATTCATTATTTTTTAAAATTTGATTTAAATTGGTATAATTAAATATTTAATTTAATGTAAAAGCATACATAATAATTCTTTATTAAATTCAGTGGAATCATACTATTATTGAAGACACCAGAAAATATCTTTATGCGAAATCGCAAAAAAAGATCTATTTCGCTAAAAAATTGCAAAATAGATCAAAAACGATTCTATGGGATTTTGTGCTTAAAATTTACTATTTGAGATTGACATAGATCTTTTGGGAAATCTGTTTTCCCTCAAACAGAAAAAAAAAAAATGATAAATCCTTTAAATCCGAGCCATAGCAATAGTAGCAACAGTATATTTTTTCTGTAATTGTAGTTTATTTGTTTCAAATCAATTACAATTAATTTTTTTTTCTTACAGCTTGAAAGGTACTTTCAGCGTTTGAAAAATCCAAGAGGGAAGGTAAGAAAACTATTTACTTATTTTTGTGCATTATTATTACGTACAAGGTTAGTGTGAGGACATAAAAAATCTTTATCCCTCAGTATTAAAGCAATGCATTCTAAAAAAAAAAAATAGAATAAGTATTTAAAACAGCTATTTCTTATTATTATAATGGTTATTGTGGTGATATGATTTTTTATTACCTGGGTTAAATATATTAATATCAAAAATTACTTATATAAATTCGACCATTATTCACCAACATTTTATTTATTATGACGTTTCAACTATCACTAGGGCCATTTTCAAGTCTTATTGAGTCCTCCATTAGATATTCATTATTAATGTCATAATAATTTTTTCATAGAAAAATGAAATTGTCCTGCTATTTAAGAGTTTCCCCTACGTCATTTCTGGAGGGACTAAATGTAATAAAATAGCTAATAAATAAAATGTTGGTGAAAATGGCTTAATTGATATATAGCAAATAAAAATTATTATCTAATGAAATAGTATAGAACCATAATATATTGACGAAAATTAAGTACATTTTTTTCAATTTAAATTTAATTTGCAACCATAAAATATGTATTTTTGACTTGAAAATAGACAGAAGAGCCTGAAATTGGATATTAATTTTAACAAAAGAGTTTATAATAATTCCTTGTTAAAGTAAATAAGTATCTAACATTTAATATACCCTTTAGAAAAATAATATTAGGGAATTCATGAGTCATAATTCATTCATTAAATAAAAGTCCATGTACACTCCATGGTCACCGACTTTTGACCTATCTCCATTTATTTATCAAATAATAATAGTTAATTATATGTTATTTAATTGAATCTATTATTAAGGACATTTAGTCTTTTACAGATGCTTGATTTAATCAAGCTCTCTGTATTATAAATTAAATGAAATTTTTAGTATCTATTTTATATATTACAGGGAAATTTTGCTAATGATAACACAGAAGTTAATGGTGAAGGACATCCTAAGAGAGCCTGTCGTCGTGACAAAAGTTTGGAATGGAGTTCAGAAGATGAAATTACCTCTGACGGAAGTGATACTCCTAGAGTAACAACTAGAAGAGCATGGTCAGATTATTGCACAAAAGGTAGATCATCCCAAAGTGATGAAGATAATAACAATAGTAAGTTATTCGTATGGTATGAAAATAGCATTTTACATGCTCTGTTTTCAAAATTCTTTATGCAACAGTAGATTGGCAACATTTCTTACTTTAATAGAAGTTGAAAAATTGTTTCTCAATTATTTTAACTAGATGTAAAACTAAATTCATGGAAAATATAAATTTTTTTTTTTTGCTACATTGCCATCAATACCTTCTAAATGCATATTTGTTTTTATTAATTCTTTTGTAACGTCATTATTTTATTTTTTTATTGGGTTGTCTGGAAAATAATGCAGAATTTTGGTTTAAAAAGAAAAATTTACAACTGCTTTATATTATCAATAGTCTCCACTACTATCCTCCACATTTCAACAATACAATACATTCTGCCATTGTGTTGGCAACTTTTCCATTCCTTTGGAATAGAATTTCCCATCTTTAGAATTATAAACTCCAAAAACGCTTTTTCTAATTCCCTTTGTCCGTTAAATTTTTATGTAGAGCTCCAGGTGTCTAAAAAAATGATAATCCGTAGGTGAGAGGTCTGGAGAGTAGGGCAGATGTGGCAGAGTTTCATATCCAAGCTTCAACAGTTTTTGTGATGTTATACATGAGGCATGTGGCCGGGCCTTGTCATGCAACAAAATGGGCCTTCGATTGAACAAAGATGGCTTCATTATTGCCAATTTCTGATGCATTGTATTAAGTTAGTTACAATAGGTTTCGGCATTGATGGTTTCTCCAGGATTTATGAAGCTGTAGTGTATCAAACCAAATGAAGCCCTCCAAACAGTAACAATCTCCATTGTTTGATGAGTTGGGGGCTTTAAAAAATGTTCTGCTGTGTCTCCTTTGTGGAGCCTCTGTCCAGAATGTCTACTTTTATCGTGAAGTATCCCATTTTCATTACAAGTAACAAAGCTGGACAGAAAAGGGTCATTTTTGTTTCGACTAAGAAGTGTAGGCACAAACTTCATAACGCTGTTTTGTTTGTTTACGGTCATTTAATGTGTGTGGAACCCAACTTTCAAGCTTTTTTACCCTTGCAATCGCCTTGAGTTATCGACGGTCGATTTGCTAAGGTTAAGTTTCCCTGCAAGTTCTCGAACAGTTGTTCTGGGGTTTTCTCACACCAAACCGTGCAGAACATCAACAGAGCAAGTCCTTCCATGACCTTCTTTGTCTTCAAGGCTGAAGTCTCCCTCCTGAAATTTTTCGAAACACTGTTGAACAGTGCACTCATTAATGCTGCTCTCGCTCCAGACTTGATTGATGTTTTTAGCCTTCTGGGCCCCATTCTGGCAAAGTTTAAGCTTGTAAAACAAAATTATACGAAAATCATGACATCTTAGTAAAGACTAAATTATTTCTAAGCAGCGAAATGCAGAGTTAAACAAAAATTATCATTTGGAAGAGGATTAATAAGTGTAGACATTCATTCAAATGAATAATCTAGTAAACGTAAACAGTTTGTTATATAATAATAACAATGCTTTATTTATTCTGGGACAAGTCCCTTTAGTATAATGTACAGAGATAGAAATGTAGGCTTGGGAGCCTCAGAGAATAATCATAAAATAAACTTTATATAAAAGATTTATATAATGAATAAATAAAAGAAAAGAATATTATTTACCTTCAAACTTCAATTAAGAGAAAAAAAATTAAATAAAAGTATTTAAGAAAAACTAATTATTTATATACGTATTTACAGCATCTATTTACAATTTTATGAGAACTGAATGGATAAGAGGTGATTGAACTGGTGGGATTTAAAGGTGGGAAGGGTATTGGAGCGGCGGATGTAGGATGGGATAGAATTCCATTGGGATGAGGACCGAATAATGAAAGATCTGTCGAAAGTAGGGGTTCGGTGGGCTCTTGTATACAAATCTGAAGACTGGGAACAGGTTTTGCTGGAGTGGACAGAGGATTTGAATTGAAGGAGCTCGGAGATGTATGAAGTATGACGGGATTGGATGACTTGGAAGAGGAAGGCATTGAACTTCAACTTGTTCACATCTGCCCAGTCACAGATTCTATTCAAGTCCTCTTGAAGTTTTTTTGTGGCTGCTAATCAATCAGAAGGAGGGAAGGACAGGTATATTTGGAAATCATCTGCATAGATATGGTGTCGGGAATGATGGATCAGGAGAGGAAGGTCATTAATGTAGCAAACAGAGTAGGAGGTAGGGAGGAACCCTGAGGGACGCCAAAGGAGAGAGGAAGTATCTTAGAAGGAGGTTGATCTTGGAAGACTGCATACTGGGATCTATTTGAAAGAAAGGATTTGAACCATCGCAGGACACTATTGGATAAAGAAAGATGTTGCAGTTTAGTAAGGAGGATACTGTGGTCAAGTGTGTCAAAAGCTTTGGAGAAATCTAGGAGAATGAGGATAGTAAGTTTTTGTTGTTTAATAGAGTTTTGGAGGTGAAGGGTTATTTTTAGGAGGGCAGATTGGGTTAAGTAACCAGAACGAAAGCCAGATTGGAGAGGGTTGATTAGGGAATGTTCTTCTAGGAATTTGGAAAGTAAATTTTGGAAGAGGCGTTCAAGTGGATTTGAAAGATTGGAAAGGAGAGAAACGGGAGGAAGTCATGAGATGAGGAAGGATTTGAAGTTTTATTTGAAGGTCAGACTTGGGTGGTTTTTGAGGAAGATGGAAATATGGAGTTTTGCAATGAGAAGTTGTAGACATGGTAAAGTATGGGAATAAAAATGGGAAGCTGGATTTTTTAGTTTTGCTGGAATAATATCAGGAGTATTTAAAAAAAAAAACCTCAAAATCCTGCATTCTTTTCCAGACATCAAGGGAAACTTAATGACTCCATATCTCAGAAGGATGGAGCTATCAATTCTTTAGGTTGAACTTGAAAGATAATTCAGACTGAAATAATTCTGAAAAAAAAATGAATTTTATCATTAGAAGATAAGAAAAGAATAAAAGTTTATTTTTCATTCTTTTGTTTTAATTAGATCAAGCCTTGCAGTTTTTATGTTTCCAAAAATTTAGTTTTTCAATTATAATTATCTGTTCAAAAGTAATTTTAAATAGTATGGACATCAATTTTGTAATTGTTATAACTGTATTTTATCTTGTTATATTTGATTTATCAATGTTATAATTTATTAAATAGTGCTTTATTTTGCAGATCGTGGAAAAAATCGCAATGGGAAAAAGAAGGTGAGAAGGAAATTTGGTAGGAATAGAAAATCTGGAAATAGATCTGATATTTCTCTGCCAATACCACGTACTACAAAACGTAGTAAAGGCAAATCAAAGCGAGGAAAGGCAAAGAAAACCATAAAAATAACGGGTCTAGACTTGTTACATAACGAAACTTTGCTGAGTACATCAACTCCAGGTAATATTTTATATAATTTTTGTTAATAATTTGAATATGAAATCGCTCATTGAGAGTAGGAAAATTTCAAAACTAGAGAATGAGTTAAATTTGGGTCAAAGTTGTTCTTCATAATGCTAATTTAATTATCTCAAGACTTCGATCATAACAACATTTAAATTTCATAATCAACATCAAAAAAGTTTTAATAATTGGCTATACCATAAATATAATAAAATTGACTACACACTGACATTAAATTTATGAAAAACTTTAATATTAATACTAAACAGACTGGGGATCGACTGAACAGTGAAAGAAGAAGTGTGTTCTGTACCTGGTTCAGACATAAAAATGGTAGGATTTTCGAGTCACAGTAGTTCTGGTCTTCAAGTCTAAGTTATTACTCTATTGCTATAATAAATAGTTGGGATGAAGTTGGGCAAATATATTATTTAAGACATATAATGTATAAAAGTACAGTGTATATCTGGAACTACGAGTTTGTAGCATTGAAAGTGACTGATAAGGTAATTCCATTTCACAATATATGCTGACTAAAGAACATACTTGACTCAATTGATAAAACACTGAACTTGAGTGTACAGCAAAAGGGGGTGATTTTGAGTAATTTATTTTTTGTTTTACTCTCTGTACATATACATTTTATTTTATAATAAAGTTTTTGAAACAAATAATTTTTCTGTTGAAATCTGTATATATTTGTTTGTAACAATATTTATGACAGAGCTAGGTACATATATTCATTGAATATAGTGCCATAGTTGAAAATTATTCTATTGTTATTTGTTTGATTTAACTATCCTTATTATGGCCTATTAGTATTGTGAAAACAATTATTAACATCATTTATTTTAAAAGTATATTTTTTTTCTATTATGTTTGTGACATAACATTGTGTGACTCTACATATATATTTATTTAATGTTGAATGAGGTTATTGAAAATTATGGATGAGGTTACTATTGATTGTAAATTTGTGCATTTATATTACTGTAAGTTTTAAACTTTATTTTGGCTATAGATGTGTATTGAATTATTATTATTAGTTCAGTGTAGTAATAATATTGGCATTTCATTTATTCAATCCACATAGATTCCAGTACTTAGTATTTGTAATTATTATTGTCACTTCAAATTATCTTAATAGTATTAAAAAAAAATTGTGCTTGACTTTCAAGCTGTGTTGACAGGCCAGTGGTCTAATTTTATTATTTTTTTATTAAGTGGTCTAATTTTTTTATTATGGAATTACATTTGCTTTTATGTTGACTGATTCTATTTTTAAATTTAGTTTAATTGGTTCAATATAATATGTTTGTATATTGTTCTCACCATTATTACTTTTGTAATCTATTTGATGGATAATATTAATTTTATTTTTATTTAATTAATTTTATAATTGATTAAGTTATATAATTGACTTAAAACTATAAACCACAATAATAAATAAACATTTGAATAATGTATATTTGAATATTAGCATTAGTATGTATGTTAGACATAAAAATTGTAAATATTGACGTTTATAACTTTTTTTTTAATGTGTTAGAGCATAGTATAACTTCTTGTGGTAATTAAACATCTTAGAGGAGTTAACAAAAAATATAATTTTTATACAAACTTTGATTCAATAGTTTTACATTTAATTAACACTAATTATAAAACATTAATAAACTCACAGCGTGTAGGGACATGTGTACTCTTATATGTTTGTTTCTTTAATCTGTATAAGAATACCAAAAGAAAAACTATTTTATATTTTTTTAACAGAACCTTCCTGCCACTTTTGTTATTCTAAAACTCTATATAGAAAAACTATAACCTATTGATCTGTTACTAACTTCAACCATTGCTCTTGTAAATTTTTAATCAGCATGATGTAGTTATTAATTTGAAGGAGTTACCTCATAACACTACTCCTCTCTAATAACAGGGTCCAAAAATTTAACAGTCGGTTTTATAGTGCCTCGAACCTGCTTTTCGTAATGGATCTTCCAGATTCTTGTACTTTGTCTAAATTGTCTTTCTTTTTATCTTCATGAAGTACACTATATGCTTCCAGTTGTTTCTTTGTATCCAATCATCTGTTATCACCTTCATCTGGTACTAAGATAAATTTTAGTTTCATCCTGTCAAGCGAAACTCTTAACTATTTATTTTTTACATGCTCAAATCGTTCAGCATTCTCAAACTTATCAGTAGGAGTGATAGTATGTCAAACAACATTTTCTCGCTGACACAGTATATATGATCTTCCTCATTTGGCAGTATCTTTGAAAAGAATAGGCCAAAAATATTTCTGAGACAACAACTTGCGGGAAGTCCATATTCCTGGAGGATTCAGGGTGTGCAGAGAATTAAAGATTTCTCTTCAAAGAGAATGTGATTTGTAAACTCAAGCTTGCTTCTGAGATGTGTCTCACAGAGAATTGATTCCTTTGATCCAGGAAGATTCAAAACTTTTGAATGGAGATTGGACTGTATCATCAGAGATTCTACTTCTGGCTCTTCTTTCTATACAGTGGCTAATTTATCAAAGTCCTTGCCAACGTGCACTGTCTCCACACGAAATAAAACGCCAGCTACCTGGTTTTCTATCCACTCTAAATGTTGCATATCTGTAGAAAACTGATAAGAAATTTAACCACCTTATTCGAATAGGTGATGCAAATATTGGTTTCTGGTGCATAGCAAATATAAGAGGCTTGTGATCTGTTCGGATTATAAAGTTCCTCCGTTTAATTATCGGTCTAAAATGTTGCTCAGAAAAATAAATTGCCCGCAATTCCCTATCATATGCAGAATAAGTTTCTTGTACTTCTGATAATGAATTTGCGTAAAAACCTAAGGGTACTCAGTGTTTCCCTTCCCTTTTGTGTAGCAAGGCTCCCATATTCCAATTCTTAAAAATATACCCAACACTGCAATTATAACCCCTTTTGGGTTATTCAAATTAAATCGAGTGTGTTTTGGGCTGGACAATGTAGCTCAGATATTTCAATGTTTTATGGACGACATATTCGAGGATTTAAGCTTTTGTTTCATTCTCTTAGACAATGCTTTGATTGCCTCTTCAAGTCACAATGAACACTTGGAACAAGTATTTAAAGGTTAAGTGAAATGGAATTACTCTTAATTCCGATAAATGCTGATTCGGACAGTGTGAGATGGATATTTTGGGGTACCATATCACTGTTGAAAGAATACAATTACAAGTGGTAAAGGACCATGTCATAGCAAACTACCCAATGCCTAAAGATTTGAGAGCTGTGAGGAGGTTCTTAAGAATGGGTAATTTGTATTGTCCATCAATCTGTTACTAACTCTAACCATCAATGTTGGCAATTGATAATCAGCATGAAAAAATTTTTAATTCAAATGAGTTACTTCGTAACAGATAGTATAATAGCCGAAATGTTGCAATTGTAATAAAACTAATGTAAAATAAAACATAAGGTTAAACTAAAAACAGCCTAAATTATTTTAATATTGAATTTATTCATCTTACACATTGTTTCTATCTTTATTAAATATTACACTGCCTTTCCTTACTTTCAATTAGCAGAGTATTTTGTGCATTCGAAAAACAATTCACATGACATACGCAATTTATATTTTTTATTCTAGCTACTGGAAAGAAACCGCCTCCTGCTCCTGGTTGTGTTGATCAACAATTGACATCGCTCACTGCTGCACCATCTACTATACATGAAGAGTTAGAAATCCCTCCAGCACCAGCAGATACTCCATATGCTCTTCAAATTTTATTGGACCTTTATAGAGATCAGATGATGACTATAATTGATACTATGAAAAATCCTGAGTACAAAGAAGTTGTCAAAAAGCACATAGCTGAAGAAAGGGTATGTTGATATATATTATTGTTTTAAAATTTAAATCTGTACCATTACAATCCATGAGTCTTGGGTTAATTACTTTGTAAGGAGGTACTGTTTCCAGGCCAATGGTTGTGCAGGGAGATTATTGGTCCGATATCATGCTAAACTGTTAGATTTTCCCTCCTAATTAGTTGTTTAATTACAAGTACCCACTTTATTGAGAATGGATATGCCTCAAAAGTCTCTTCTGACCCCATGGTTGGTCCACGGCTAATGCAACAGAATAAATAACTACCCGCTTATCAGCTGGATTTGAACCCAGGACCTTGAACATAAAAAGTTATTGCTTTACTCACTGTGCTACCACACTTCCATTGCTTTCAAATATCAAAGATAAATAAATAAATATTGTTTTATAACACTAAAAAACAATTTAACAATATTCTTGTTGAATTCTCTTTTTAAACTGTTTTAGACTGAATATAAATAACTTGTAGCAAACTATATTTTCCAGTTAAATGTTGAAGCTTTACTTTCCCTGTGTACAGATTTTTGTTTGGTTTCTTTTGTTCTTTAAACCTCACACTGCATAGGCGGTGAAGAGGAATATGATTATGATGATGATGATTCTTTTGTTCTTTAATGTTGAAAGTTTTTTTTTTTAGGACAGAAATCAGAAATTGACATGCCGAGCTGCTCAACTGGAAAAACAGATCAAGGTATTAATTGATGATAGTGTCGCTTTGTTAAAAATGAGAATGGCAGAGCTTGGAATCAATGCCAATACCCCAAATGACCTTTTATCAAAAGCAAAAGAAATTGTTATGAGGCATAAGGAGTTGCAAGCTAAAGCAACTCAATTACAACAGCAGGTATATTCACCCTAACTATTTTTAAATTGTATTCTCTATTACATGACAATTATAAAATTTATGTAAATAAATAAAGGTATAAATAGGTGCATTTATAGAATTTATATATGATTACTAGAATTTTTAATTATTTCTGGTTAAACTGGTTAAAAAGCATACTGTGGTACAGCTGTGTGTGAGAGACAAAGAGTGGTGGAAATTAATTTGAGAGATGGTAAATGAGTGTTTATCAGAGATGGGTGTATTTTTATTTGTAAATAAAAATACGAAATATATTTTTATTTACATTCCCTATGAATACAAATACAAATATATTTCATATTTGTGATTGTGAGTAAAAATGTTTGCATTTGTATTGATAACTGTAAATATAAATATCACTGTATTCATGCCCACAAATATAAATTCAGCTGTATTCACATCTTTAAACATGATTATGTCCATATTTACACCTCCGAAAGTGAATAATAAAATTGTTTTACTATATTAGAGGGCTACATTCAGAAAGTCTTTTCTCTTCCCATTAATTGTATTTAAAAATGTGATGAAGAATATTGTTGTTTTTGCAATCATATTCACTCCTGTAAATTTGAATACAGTTTTATAAACAGTTGTGAAAGAGAATATTAATATATTCACTTAATTTTATGGATAAATATTCTTAATTACTAAAAAAATATTAATGAATGTTAAAAAAGTTGTATTTAGTATTTAATACAGATGTTAGAAAGAATATTGTTATATTTACATAATATTAAGAATAAATATTTTTATTAATTATTAAAAAACAAATTTCGAACAGTCACATTATGGCGATTTAACCATTATGGCGATGTTTTCCGTTTGTCAAGATTTTCCTATAATTGAAATACCTTTTATCTCTACTTGAGCCTTATTAAGGAAACAGATATTCAATGTCAAATATGGTGGACATTTCAGAAATTATTAATTATTGGAAATTCATATCTGTTATTAATTTGTGTAAAAATAAATATCCATTAAATAAAGAAGAATATTTCATCATAATATCATGTGAATATAACAGTATTCATTATCACACCTATAAATATTAGGGAGATTGTAAAGTAATGTTGTTTCTGAGTGTGTCACTATTTGATTGTTATTTGGCAGCTCATTGTGTACACCTAAATCATGGCAAAGACATTCTAAGGTTATAGTGGCTTGTTTAGTAGGAAATATTTAAATTAAAATTTTTTGTTGTAATTTTTGCAAGGGTAGTAATGCAACAGTGGCTACTAAAAATGTAAGATCGCTCTGTGTAAGATTAACCGTGGAAAAAATTAATGAATCGGAGTGGAAGTTACCGCCTTATCCACCGTACTTGCCTGATGTTGCACCATCTGATTTCTATTTGTTTTGATCGTTTCAACACTTTATAAGTAGCAAAAGATTTGCAAATTTGGATGATGTAGGTGTGTATACCTATGCATATATTTCTATCCAGACCAGTAAATTTTAATTATATAAACAAGTTACAATTGATCATTAATTGCACCCTCAGATGTTTTATGGAATGAATTTTAAGGTTTCCTTATTTTTAGCTTAATACATTTTTTTCATGTCATGAGTTTATTTATTTAATAGAATATAATATACAGGTAAATTCCATGGAAGAAGAACATTCCCGTCTTGTTAATGAACGGCAAGCTGAGATGGTAGCAGCTGGACATCAAATTGGCATTAATGCTCCATTGACTAAAGAACATTTATTACAAGAAATTTTTGCCACCATGTCCCACAGAAAAAAATTACATTCGCACGTGAACAGATTGGAGTCAGAGGTATCTGTTTTACAACAACAATATGCTTCTCATCATCCTAATGTATGTTTTAAAAGAAGTTTTTTAAAAATTATTTCATTGTATTATAAAAACATAGTTATTTATTTCTTCAATTCAGATGCCTGTAAAATCTTCAATAGAAAAGTCCATAAACGGTGTAAAGTCAAGCCGAAAAAGCCGAGACAATAGGTGTAGATCACAAGATTGGCCTGATGTTCCTGATGTTGGAAAAATAGAAGAAAATAACCCAGAGATACTAGCTCAGAAGATATTAGAAACTGGAAGGCAGATAGAAGCTGGAAAAATTCGTGAAACTTCACGCTATAAGGAGCCTCTTAGTAGGCATATTCAGGTATTAATATTTCTTCTTTGGTTTGGTAACTTCCATGAATTGTTTTCTGATTTCAATTTTTTTTTCATTTGTATATTTTCTTTTTCTAACATTAACTTGCAATACCTTTTTTTTACTTTAAATTCAGTGTTCTTCAATTTAAAAAAACAAAAACAAAATAAAATAAACGCAAGTGTTGTAAAATCACTTTCTTATCATCTTACAATGAAGTTGATTAATTTTAACAGCTATTATTTATCTCATTTGTTATTTTTAGTAGTTAAACAACATACCTTTTTTTTAGCTGATTGGATGTTAATTAGATTATAATTTTATTTAGGTACAATTTAAATCAAGATTCTGCTAACAGACCTACTTCTTGTTTAAGTTTGACCTGTATTTTTTCATTTTATTTTTTAGCATGCTCAACCAGCACAGAAAGTTATCACTAGACCTAGTTCTATTAATTCAGGAAGTTTCACTTCCAATCGAGCTCAAGAGCCTCCAAGAGTTGCAAATTTTGAAGATCGGTTGAAAAGTATTATCACAACTGTTCTTAATGAGGATCAGCAAGCTAGAAATTTGGCTGGTACAAAAGAAAGGGAAAGAAGACTTCCTATAGCTAATAACATTGCTTCAACTATTACCACACCTCAGCCTGATTATACTCAGGTAATTTTTTTTCTTCATTAATTGGTTATTGGTATTAGCAGTTGTCACTTTCATTGTGGTATCATGATAAAGTTTTTCTACTGGAAAGAAAAAGGTTTGATTTTCAGAATTTATGAGTGTTTTTTTTCCAAATGAGTTAATTTGGGAGGATATATTATACGCTCTCATCTTACTTAAACTAATTAGAAGATTAAATAAGGAATTGGAAAAAAATATGGTTGTTTGTAGAGATTGACCATTCCCATGCAAAGTGATTCCGATTTAATTTGAAACAAGGGTAGCTTGTTTATTTAACCATCCTTCAAAGCCACTGGGAAAGAAACTGAGTTCAGCAACTGGTCAAGATGAATAGAAATAAACAGTTATTTTTGAGCTATAATATATAAGTATAAAAATTGCTCTCCCTCCCCTTCTGATAATTAATTTTAGATCAGTGGTGAATTTCTTACTTGTCCCAATGGTGGAAAAGAGCTGACTCATTCCTGTCACTCAGCCATGGTTCATTTTTTCGTAGTCAGTGCAACAACCTGTTAACGAGTCTAGGTCTCCTCCATCAACCTTTGCCAGACCGCTCAGCTTCTGTTGCAGCAGTCCAGTTCCTGATGTTCAGCAATTCCTTGCATCCACTTCCACACCATCTAGCCATCTTGTTCTGAGCCATTCTACTCTCCTTGCTCGGTGCAACTCTTTTATCATTACCTTCCTTAGAATCTCAAAGTCACCCATTCGAGCCACATGACCAGCCCAAGAGAGTGGTCTAAGCTTTACAACCTTCACGATATTGCCATTTTCAAAGAAATCATAGAGCTCTCCAATTCTTTCTCTTCATCCAGACCTTTCCTTCTCTTATTGCTCTGAATATTCTCCTCAGTACTTGCTTCTCGAATATCAGTAGTCTGTTTTCATCTTTCTTAGTGGTTACCCATGCTTTTGATCCAAATGTGAGCACTGGGTGTCCCAGGGTCTTGTAAAGTATTTTTGTATTGAAGGAAAGATTCTTCCTCTTGAACTGTTAGGATAGGCCATTGAAGTATCTATTGGCAGCATTGATCTGTCTTCTTACATCCTTAGATACATTGTTCTGGGAGTTCACTTCAGATCTCAGGCACAATAAGGTCTCCATTCTCTGAGACTTATAAAGACCAATGTCCAGGAATGGGGCATGGTCTCCCACCACAATAAAGGAGTTTGAAATGAGGCATATTTGTGGAAAGGGGTATAAAGGTCAGAAGGACGTGAACCTGTGCAGAAAGAGTAGATAGATGACTTGAATTGAAAGAAATTGTATGCATAGGACTTACAATGATTATAGATTATTTGGTAAAGGAATGTACCCATAAAACATTTTCTTCTGTTGGAGGGGAAGAGCCACCCTAACTTAGTGTAATAGTGAGAAACAAGAGAACGTCTCGGGGTTCTATTAGCAAATTTTCCTAAGCCATTCATGATTAATTTATAAAAAGCTTTTTTTTTCAAGAGGTCGGAAATACTGAGTTCTGAAGGGAGTAATTATAATCTGAAGGAGAACGGGAAGGATTTCAGGTAGGCCCAATTTGATTAATTTCATAGGAATGCCATCTGGACCAATAGAATTGGAATGTGATTTCATCATGGTGGATATGAGGTCTGTGGGAGAAATATCTTAAAAATAAAGTGTAGTAGTGAGAAACAAGAGAACGTCTCGGGGTTCTATTAGCAAATTTTACTAAGCCATTCATGATTAATTTATGTTTGCCCAGGCACAGATCCGATTTAGGCCTTCTTGTATTTTGGAAAACGTATCATTCCTCTCTGAGGAAGAAAGGAAAGGTAAATTTGGCAATCATCAGCATATAGGTGATGAGAACAGCGAAGGATTGATTTATGAAGGTCGTTAATATAGGAACTAAAAAGAAGAGGAGATATGCTAGAGCCCTGTGCCATTCATGAGGACAGAGTAAGATAGGAAGACAAAGGTTGGTTAGGAATAGCGACTGCTTGGGTAGTTGTGAGAGGAAAGATTGAAACCAAAGGATAGAGCTGATGGAAAACCATAACAATTCTAATTTGGGGAAAATGAGGGAATGGTTAATGGTATCAAAGGCCTTTGGAAAAGTCAAGGAGTACAAGGACAGTTAGTTTTTATCATCTATAACGGACTGAACATCACTAGTAAGTTGATTGTACTGTTCGAGGAACTTAGAAAGTTGGGATTGCACTATTCGTTGAAATTCTTTTATTCTTGGTTTTGAAAGGTTAAAAAGGATTGAGATTGGGCGAAAATCTTCGGGGGAAGAAGGGTTAGGATTTTGAAGTAAAGGACTGACAAAGGCTTTTTTTTTCAAGAGGTCGGAAATACTGAGTTCTGAAGGGAGTAATTATAATCTGAAGGAGAACGGGAAGGATTTCAGGTAGGCCCAATTCGATTAATTTCATAGGAATGCCATCTGGACCAATAGAATTGGAATGTGATTTCATCATGGCGGATATGAGGTCTGTGGGAGAAATATCTTAAAAATAAAAATCATCGTTGTTAAACGATGTTCCAGGAGTAAAGAAGCAATAGGTTAATGAAGGAATGGAAGAGAAAGCCGATATAAAATATGAATTGAAATCAAGTGAGGCTGGACAGAATGATGAGCGAGGTGATCTGGAAGGTTCACAGAGAGAGAATTGACGAAAGAGTACCCATTTGGATTTGGAATCAGGAGCTGATGAGAGGGCTTCATGGAAATATGTTGATTTAGCTCATCAGATTCTGGTTTGTGTCAGATTATGGAGCACCCTTAATGCCTGGTTGTTGTTAGCAAGCCTTGTAAGTCTAAAGCGTGTAAGGGCAGCATCACATCTCTTCTGAAGATCTTTAATTTGCTGACAGATCCAGGAAGCTGGAGGGTGACAAAAAGTAGAGGTTTTGATGGGGGCATGGGCATCAAGGATCCTTGATTAGGCACCCAGAAAACACCAGCAGGAGGAACTGTCAATCAAATCGACTACATACTTGCCTCTGCTAGAAGTGCCTCTAGTATAATTGACGTCTGAGCTTGTAAAGGACCGAAGTGTGATTCAGATCAATTCTTAGTAAGAGCTGTCTTCAGACATAGATTGAATAAAGTGCAGAAAGATAGCAGACTAAGAAGAATGAGATCGAATCTGGAAAATCTCGGGAACGTACAAGTGAAAGAAAGTTTTCAAGAGGCACTAAGCACTAAATTACAGGAAAGAGAACAAAGGGACAACATAGAGAGAATTGTTTGAGGGATGCAATACAGATAACTGCATTTGCTTTTTCTGGTTATAAAAAGGCTTTTGATTGAGTTAGTAGGATTTAGGTTGCTCAGGCTCTCAAAAGTTTCGGCATTCCTTATAAGTTGATAAATTTGATTAAAATTACAATGGCTCAAATGCAAACAAGTCTCCTCATTGGAAACCAAACCAGTCACAGAATCACATTCAACAGTGGGGTGAGACAGGGAGATGCCGTATCTGCCATATTTTTCAGTTTAATCCTCCATAAAGGGGTGGAAAAAATTGTTCCAAGTGGTAGCCTTGTAATCCATACTATGCAGATTGCTGGTTATGCCAATAATATTGTAATATTGGGCAGAAGAAAATAGCTTTAAATGAATTACTAGTTGAAGTGGATACTGAAAGCAGGAAAGTCAAGCTAGTGAATAACGAAGCAAAAACCAAATATATTGTAGTATCTACGACGTCAACCAGAAAAAGGCTACAAGATTTAGGAGTGAGTACCTATCGCTTTGAAGGTGTTGATGGATTCATCTAACTTGGAGTGGAATTAAACTGCGAAAACAAGGGAAGTGATGAGATCAAAAGCAGAATCATGGCTGGAAACTAATGATGGCCTTCAGAAATTAATGAAAACAACCCTTCTGACCAAGCAATCCAAATTGGAAATATACAAGTCTCTGATAAGACCGGTAGTGTGCTGGAGGTGAATCCTGAACACTGAAAGTCTCAGACTAATTAGCCCTAAGAGTGTTTGAGAGAAAAATATTAAGACGTATTTTTGGTCCAGTATGCTTAGAGGGCACCTGGTGAATCAGAAAGAATAGGGAGCTGGATGATCTCATAGGGCATGAGGATGTAGTCAAATTTATTAAATCAAGAAGGTTGAGTTGGCTTGGGCACATTAAAAGGTTGCCAGATAGACAAATGGCGAGAAAGATCTGTGAGGAAGCTTTTTGAAGGTAAAAGAAGAAGGGGAAGCTGGCTGAAGGATGTGGAATAGGACTTGGCTAAGCTTGGATTGATTGTGTGGAGGAGAATGGTGATGGATCGAGATGGCTGGAGACAGATTGTGAAGGAGGTCAAAGTTCATATTGGACTCTAGCACCGGATTAGTAAGAAATAAGTATGAGCATTGAGGATATTAAAGAGGTTGGAGATGAAAATATGAACCATGGAGTCAATAGAGGAACAGGAATCTATCCATTCCAATCTAGGGTTTCCAGGTAGGGTAGGATGTTTTCCCGAGTGAGGGCATCAATGTACTAGATAGAATCGAAGGAGTTTGGATATTATATGAAATTTGGATTAGGTCATGAGAGGATAAAAAGGAGACTGGTACTTGGGAGAAAGATAGGAGGTTCTGAGGGGAGTCGATAATGTATTGATCCAACCAAGTGTTGGGCCTGGAGGTGTGATGAGTGGAAGAAAAAAGCACGATGAAGAGAGAAAAGAAGGTTTTTGAGGTATGATTTATCACTGGAGTCAGAAAGAAAATTAGTGTTTTGGTTACCGGAAATCATAATTTTGGAATAAAGAAGAACAAAGTTGAAGGAGATGATTCAAATGACAGATCAAAGGGAAAAAGAGGAGATTGATATACTATGATATAAAGGATAGGAGAAGTATTACAGGAAATTTCAATGAAACGATGAGAAACTCAATATGTAGATGATGGGATGGAGGAGAGCAGTGAAGTATTCGGGTCTTCAGGCATTCATGAACATACAAAGCAACACCTCTGCTAGTCTGGCTGGCCCAGTCATGCCGGA